TTCTAGTTTTATCAATTACCAAGGTTGCCCATATTAACCCTTTTACAACATTATAGCAGGTGACAGTAGTAAACCAATATTTCTCACAAAGAATAAAGAGGCTTATGTTGAGGATAAAATCTCGCATTTATAGTATATTCAAATTAGTTAGATTGTTAATTAAGATAACAGTAGCGGCTCTATTCAAGAAATTCGAGGACTATTGTAAACCTAAATAAAATTTAATTGTAGAACGGCACAAACTTAATAGACGGCAAAACCCGGGAGAACCAGTCGACCATTACATTATAGATTTAAAAACTTTAGCAGCTTCGTGTGAATACAGCAATCTCGTAAATGATTTGATAACAAGTCAGTTAGTTGCGGGAATTCAGCCGGATAAAGTAAGAGATAGGCTCTTAAGAGAAGGATTAGAACTGTCGTTAGATAAAGCTGTTGATATTTGCCGTTCTCATGAAGTTACTCAGAAACAGATGAAATTATTCCATGGGGAATGCGAAATCGATACCGTAAACAAAAGACGGGCAGATAAAGACAAATGATCGACCCAAAGTTCAGCAGCAGGCGGAAAAGTCTTCAGAAGTAAACAAGACAAAGACGGGAAAACAGAGAGGCCAAATGTTTTAGCCTGCAGAAATTGTGGCAGAAACCATGAAGCAAGAAAATGTCCCGCGTATGGCAAAGAATGTTACAAATGTCAGAAGAAGAATAAATTCGCGAAAATGTGTCGTTCAGAATCCACTGAAGCAAGGTCAAGCACCAAACAAACGAGTTAGAGAGATTACAGCAGACTCGAATGACGACTTGGTTATCGATGCAGTGTACTGACTGGAAAAAAAATTGTGAAAGGAGACGGAGGCTCTTGCTGTTGTCAACATATTGTATGGTAAAGCTCGTGTGAAGTTAGACACGGGAGCGGAGGTCAATGTAATACCTTCCAGGGTATATCAACAGTTGGTGGCAGGTAAAGAAATTTCAAATGATGCTGAAATCAAAAGAAACACAACTAAATTGACGGGATACGGAGGAGCTGAAATACCTGTAAAAGTAACATGCGTGTTGCCATGCTCGTACCAGACGCAAGAAATAATGACGGAGTTCTACATTGTCGAAACTGATAACAGAACAGTTCTCAATTTAGAAACATGAAAGCAACTAAATCTCATCAAGGTTATGTACAGCCTGAAGTCGGACAACTTGGTCAGCGGTTGTTCCACCGAGCAGATTAAAGAAAATTACAATAAAGTTTTTCACGGACTTGGGAACTCGATGAGTGTTATCGAATGCAGTTGGATCCCCAAGCAGTTCCAGTCACTCAAGCCCCAAGAAAGATTCCAGCCATGTTACGTGGCAAGTTGAAACAAGAACTCAATCGCATGGAAAAAGAACAAGTCATTGTTAAAGTGGACAAGCCAACAGATCGGTTACATAATCCGGTCATTGTCGAGAAGCCCAATGGGAAGGTTAGAGTCTGTTGGGACCCGAGAGAGCTCAACAAATATCTCAAGAGAGAATAGTAGCAGTTACCAACATGGGAAGAAATATCAAGCAGATTACATGGTGCAATAGATTTCTCAGCATTTTAGATGTCAATCAAGGGTATTGGCCGATACCTCTGGATGATGAAAGCTCAAGATTTACCACTTTCAACACCCCGTTTTGGCGGTACCGATTCTTGAGAATGCCTTTTGGTAGTCATTAAGCACAAGAAATATTTCACAAGAGAATCAACCATCTATTTGAAGATCTTGAAGGAGTCGAGACCGATATAGATGACATATTGGTTTCGGGAAAAACGATCGAAGAGCATGATCAGAGATTACAAGTTACCCTAGTCCGAACCAAGATGATCGGAATAACCCTCAACCCTGACAAGTGCAAGTTTCGTGTAGCAGAGGTAACCTACCTTGGACACAAACTAACGGGAGAGGGAGTACAACCTGATCAGACGAAGATCGTGGCAATCAACGACATGCCAGCGCCGCAAGACAAATTAGGAGCGCAGAGGCTACTTGGAATGGTGAACTATATAGCCAAGTTTATTCCAGGAATGTCCGCGATTACGGCACCATTGAGAGAGCTGTTGAAGAAACATGTTCCTTGGCACTGGACGGCGAATCATCAAGCTGCATTTGAGAAAATAAAAAGAAATTCTTTCAACTGATCGCGTTCTGAGAGACTATGACGTCACGAAGCCAGTTGTACTACAAACAGGTGCCTCAAGTAAAGGTCTTGGTGCAGTATTCTACGATATCAAAGCTTCTCAAGATCGCAGACACTCTGTCAAGAGCTCAGTTGGCTGAAACTGCAGAAATAATCAGCGAGCAAGATATGAAATCCCAAGTTCATCTCCTTTATGCAAATCTACCATGTTCCAGTGAAATCTTTGAAGAAGTGCGCCAAGAAACAGCTCGACATCCTGTGTCACAGAAGATTATACGAATGATTCGAGTGGTATGGCCGCAGTCGAAGAAAGCTTTGCCCGAGGATCTAAAAGAATACTGGAATCAAAAATTGGAACTTAGTGAAACCCAAGGAATCATTCTCAAAGATCAGAGAATACTAATACCAATAGTCTTGAGAAGAAAGATTGTGGACAAATTGCACCAGGGTCATCAAGGTATTGAAAAGACGAAGCAACGAGCGAGACAATCAGTTTATTGGCCACGAATCAATAAAGACATTGAAGATTTGGTATCAAAATGTTCTCATTGTGAAGAACTAAGAAATGCTAATCCATAGGAACCGCTAATTCCGCATGCAATTCCACTGTATCCATGGCAAGTTGTTGGAACGGATATATTTCATTGGCAGGACAAGGACTATCTATTGGTGGTGGACTATTACAGTCGATATTGGGAAGTGGTCAGACTCAGAAGTATGAAGGCTGAATATGCCATAGCTGAGTTGAGAAAGATATTTTCACGTTATGGAATTCTTCTTATGGAAGAAGAAAATGAGATAACAGTAGGTTTAGGTAATGAAACGGACAGTTTAAGTTACACCCGTTTTCAAAATTACGCGACCTCCCTGAAAAATACTCCTACTTCAAATGTAAGTTTTATGTCATTCGATCACGAAGTTCAAACTTTGAGTTTTGCGGTTCCTTGTCGATGTATATGCTTTGTATGCTTTATATAAACAGGCTTACAATGATTTTCAAGATATTTTAGTGCGAATTATTGTAAAATTTAAGCACGACAAAATCATAACATCACCGTTATAGTCTAGCGCGCGTGTTTTATACTGACAGCTATATTCCAGGATAAATTGTTATTTTTCAAACTTTAAAAGTCATTCACGGCACATATTTCTGTTGTGATGGTTTGTATTGTGCTTTAGTTTGTATATCTAAGTTATCTGACTAATTTTTGTTCAGTTTTGGTATTAAATACGGTTCAAAATGTCTTTAGACACTTTGTTTACGTTTGCTATTTTTAGCAGTTCTTGTGACATAAAACTGACATGTCAACTCTAGCATTTTCGTCTTTGGTCGCGTAATTTTGAAAACGGGTGTAAAGTCACAAAAAGGTTGGACTTTCGGAAGAACTGAGTAAATCTTATAAAACTAGAAGTGGTCGTGTATCGAAGCCGCCTCAAAGACTAATCTATAGTTACTAATTGTTTGCAATGTTGAATGTCTTTATGTTAAAGAACACATCCCTGGCAGTGACACATCTATTGCACCAGTGGATCGTATGTATACTTGTATGTGGGAAACATGTGAAAAGAAATTCTCAAAGAAAAAGCTGTTACATAATCATATTTTGGAGCATAATATACTGGTAGTACACATGATCAGTTTTTTGAAATCCTGTTGAAAGACTAGGCTAAAGCACTCACAATACCATCTAAGCAAATGTGCTGGCATCCATTGATTATAAAGTGGTGTTTAAGGATTTACACTAAATCGCACTCATGATATGATGATATAAGAGATCTAACTACCTAGTGGTAGAACATAAATGATTACAAAAATTTTTGCTCCGGCCACTAAGTCTGGTTGGAAAACGGAAATATAAAGGCAATGAATGACAACCTTGAATGTTAAAACTAAAAAAATGTGCCAAGATTTGTGCATTTTTGTTTGATGAAGTAAAGATAAAGGAAGGCCTGCTATTTGATCGATCCACTTGGGAATTATTAGGGTTCATCAACCTTGATATTACAGAAGAAACCTCTGACAACTCTACTACTAATAACCACCCAGAGGAAAACTTGCATCTCATGTCTTACAGTTCTTCTTCAAGAGCTTATTTGCAAAGTTTGTCTTTCCATGTAGTTACTTTCTGACTAATGGGATCAATGCTCAGAAGCTTAATAGAATTTTCTGGCAAGGCGTAAGCATACTACATGGTTTTCAGTTCACCATATTACTTTCAATCTGTGATGGAGCTTCTTAACATCGGGCATTTGAATTATGAATGGCATAAATGCTTCAAAGAGCCAAGGTACCAACATATTTTCAGGAACACCAATATTCTTCTTTTCAGACACGCCCCATTTGATGAAAAAGTTGAGAAACAACCTGTTTAGCAGTGGGTTTAAAGAAAAGCACAATCGTTTCACAAGAACATTAAAACGTAATAATAAACATGTGTTATGGGACCACATAATATATTTTGTATTTGAACGAGAAAAAAGAAGGCGCATTTATTCAACCCCTTTGAGAAGGACCCATGTTCAACTTGATAATTTAAGCAAAACGAGGGTTAAACTGGCAGTTAACACTCTGTCCAAAGAGGTTGCAGAAGAAATGAGAGAACATGAGAACAATATCACAGAATCAACCCACCAATATATTTGTATGTGTAATGACCTCTGGGAGGTATTTAACAGTAGAAAACCAATCACATCAGTTCAAGACCCTCGAATTGGTACATTAGACAATGTATTAGGCTTCTTCACAAACTGGAAAGCCAGTCTAGAGCAAGAATTTACCATCAAATCTGAGGTGTCAAGCCATTTTATAACTTGGGAAACCATGTTTGATTTACAGGTATAAAGCCTTTAAATATAGAAAAATCATAGTGTTTTTCTTTTTTTAGGTTGGTCGGTGCAATTTATTGTAATCTCCATGTAAATGCCCCCAGGGGGGTTATTTTTCAAACTCCATTGGGTGGGCTTCACATTGTTGCGACACAACTTATAATAGAGATTACTACACGAGATATTCAAACTAAGCTCTATTGCCGGTATTAGGATCCAAAAGCAAAAATTTTTGTATTTCTATTTACATCTAATTTAATTTATTTAATAATTTCGTCACCTTTATATAGATATATATAAAAAAATGTATACTAGCAAACAAGCAACACTAACACAACATTCTTACAAGATAACACACTAAACATAGACGTGACTGGAGAAAAGAACAGCACTTGACACTTTACCCCTATCAATACTAGTATATGATTAAACAAACAACTATATAACATTAAATTTACTTACATGCAGCCAGGAGGACTATATGATGGTAATTTAGCATTATAGAGCTGGCTCTAGATATGGATATACTAGAGTTAATTACTAAAAATTTCAGTTCTGATGAAAGACTGTTCCACAAGTTGGCTGATCTTATAAAAGAAGAGTTCCTAAAGTAGTCCTGTTTGTGATTAATCACGAAGTTGAAATTGTTTTCGTCGTAATTGCGTCTTGATTTATAGCCTGGTTCGAAGGTGCATAAATAGTTATTGACATCCATAAATATTCATCCGGTTTTCTAATTGAAAACTAGCAACAGGTCGGAGATCTCTCGGCGGAATTCTAATGGAAGGAGGTTTGTTTTAATTAGCCTCTTTGTATAGGACATTTCGTTCGGGTAGTTCGGTAGATACTTCGTTGCTCGCCGCTGAATATTTTCAATTAATGATTTGTGTTTGATGGTATATGGCGATCAGCCATTACTGGCATATTCCAGCTGGAGCCTAACCAGGGTGCAATACAGGAGTCTTCTTGTAGTGTAGTCACGCATGTTCCTACATATCCTTTTAATGAAGCCAAGGGTCTTATTTGTTTTCAATGCAGTGACCTCGATATGCTTAGACCACGATAGATCACTGGAGACGGTGACACTGAGATCCCTGATGTGCATAACGTTCTCGATCGGTTGACCATTGAGATTGTACAGCGATTTGTTTTCCAATTTCTTCTTCCTCGAGATGTGCATTGCCTTGCATTTATTGGGGTTGAACTCCATTTTCATGTCAATACTCCATTTCTGAACGTTGTTAAATTAAGGTCGACTTGAAGTAAGTTGCTAGAGGTTGGATGTTCAAGAGTTCTGTATAGTTCGAAATCATCGGCAAAGTGTGCGAGCGTTGAATTAACCTGAATGTGATCTGGAACGTCATTGTAATACACCAGAAATAGTAACGGACCAAGTATAGAGCTTGTGTCACACCAGACGTAACCGGAAGCCAGTCGGAACAAACGCCATGAAGAACGACTCGTTGTTGTCTATTTGTTAAGTAACTTCGGAACCATGAGAGGAGAGAACCTCCAATCCCACAATTCTCGAGTTTATTCAAGAGCAGACTGTGTGGTACTTTATCAAATGCTTTCGATAAGTCTAGGTAAATGGCATCAACTTCCTTGCCACTAGCAACAGATTCCAAGATGTCATGATATACCTCCAACAGTTGTGTTGTTGTAGATTTGCCCCTAACGAAACCGTGTGGCATCTTATAGATGAGATGTGCTAGATGCTGATAGGAATGAAAATGAACACAACGTTCCAGGACCTTGGACAGCACGCAGAGATGAGAAATTGGTCCGTAGTTGGATGACAGTGTTGGATCTTCTTTTTTAAAGACGGAGGTGATATCGGTGCGCTTCCATTGAGTGGGTACTAAGCTTAGCGAAAGAGACATGTTGAACAGCTTGGTCAATGAAGGGGCAATCTCATAAGCAAGCTTAATCAATAGTTTGCTTGAAATGTCATCAGGTCCGCACGCCTTTGTTGGGTCTAAGTGGAGAAGTACTTCAGCAACTTGAAACTCTGTCAGTCCAATATTGGACAGTTGAGAAGATGAAAATGTGGGTATATTAGTCGGCGTGGGAGAGGGTTCTGTGTCCCGAAGGTTGAAGACGGAGTGGAAAAACTTGTTGAACATATTGGCCATGCAATTTCTGTCTGTTGTAAAGGAAATGTCAGTCCGTAGGAAGTGAGCATTTTGTCTCGTTTTCGATGACAATTTTACCGCAGATCAGAAGCGTTTGGAGTTCTCGAACAAGAACTCCGTAAGTTTGTTGTTGTAATCTTCTCTTCTCGAAAAAAAATGCATTCAGTTACATTTATAGTAACACAGCATTTGTAGACTGATTGTTCAAAAATTACCCATTCACATCTTTTACTGAAATTGTTAATTGATTAATAAATGCCCACAAAGGATTACTTGGGTATCTACAAACCAATTAATTCAAAGAAGAGTTTGGAGAAGGCCTTTATATTGTGTTGAATAGATTAAACCAAGACTGTGTTGAATCATTTTTCTCCGTTCAAAGACAATGCTTATATTTATGGATACAATGTTGCTGGAAATATTTCATTTACAAATTCCAAGTCAGTTTCAAGAAAGCAAACAAATGTATATGAAACAGAACAATGCCTTATACTTGCTGCCGACTCTCAAAACCTGCCTAGACGCCAGTCAAGTATATTTGATAAAGTCCGATGGCCTGTAACATTGTCTTGAACTTTAGCCTGTATTGATATTCATTTCTGGAATTATTAGACACATTAGATATAGATATTATCTTTATAATAATCCCCCTCTTCGTGTTGAGACGATGCAACGGGATCTTGTCAAAATATTTGTGTAAATACTCAATAGGGAGATTATTACATTAGGGTTGCTTATTATAGAGATGTTGGCTTTTATATAGATTGCAACAATATGTATATAACATTGTATATAACATTACATAAATAGATATCGTAAACCTCCTAATATAAGCCCCCCCCCCCCTAATATAAGTCCCCCGAATATAAGTCCAGTAGCCCAGTAGGTTATTCAACATATTGACATTGTAATGATTGTATTTAATATAGCAGAGAACAATATTTAAAACATTGTCATTGTCTGTATAGCTTACTATGTTAATCAAAGCACGTTAATAATATGCATGGTTATTTTCCTGTTTATGACTGACTTGTTTATTACTAACACAAAAGATCATCCATGAATAACCCCCCCCCTGTATAAGCCTATTAAAAAAGCTCTTACAAAAGAATATAAGCACAGGGCATATAGTCACTGATATAGACAGAGGTTTAAGGTATAAGATGTGTATGGATGTTGTGTTTTGAACTTTGTAAATGATATATTATATCATGACAATACTCTGAGTGGTTACACACTCACCAATCTGAAAAAGTGATTGAATGTGATGAGAATCATATTGAGCTTGAATAAACTTGATTTTGTAGATCAGTTGATAAGCCATTTGATAAGCCATTGGATTAGCAAACCAAATGTAAAATGGTTGATTTCCAATTACATGATTAAGCTAATTTTCGGCTAACACAGTGTGGGTTAGTGAGTACTCAGTACATGGGGCAGTAATAAATAAGCTTGAAAATCAACGTGTTAAATTATACTATTTCATAAGAATGCCTATCAATATAGCTTTTATCTTCATTACATGAATATATAATAGCTTTTATATTCATGTACTTACCCCCAATTAGCCTGACTTTTTTGAAAGCATGATGTTCAATTGAGTCTCATCAACAATAACTGGCACCTGGACAGCTATTTGCTTTGCCTTCCCTTTTCCATTCAGGGTAGGTTTTCCATGTCTTTTCAGGAGTTTTGTCAGTTGTTTCCCTGTCAGATGATTGAGATAAAACTGAGGGTCAACAGTCGTTCCAATCTCCCTTAAACATTCTGCAACAATATCAGGATTTTCGGAGTTCTTTTGTAGCCTGACAATGACATCTGGAGTTTGGTTTCCAGAGTCAGAGATAGATGAAAGTATTTCTGTTTGCTTAGATTTCTTTTTTTGGCTTCTTGATGTCTTGTATTAAAGCGACACTCCTCTAGGCCTTTTGAGGTTTAAGATTCAATTTTCCCCTTATGATTTGTTGTTTTGACTTGAGAAACATCGTGGAAATTCTCTGCAGCACTGAAATCTGGACAGCTTTTGGAAAGTATTTTTGCAAATAGTTTCCCAGGCCAGACGTAACTTTACATTTATGGACATATTTTTCAAACAGTTAATAATGCTCTGGTCATCAAATGATGAAAGAGAAAAGTAGCTGTCGACCGTGAAATCATGTAAAAGAACAAAAAATTTGTGACTTCAGGATGCAGAACAAATAAGTACTTGTCTCCTCGTTTTTCGTCTGTACCATGCAGAGTCTCAATAAGATCAAGGGCCTTTTTTGGATCAACAAGGACATTATTACTATCATTGACTGGCTGTTTCAATTCTATATGAAATGACGCATCACAATTAGACTTGATCAAATCTCTGGACCTCTTGACAGCCCAACCTTCGTGATACCTAATTACCTCAAGTTCACTTTTGTCGGTTGTATTACTATTGGTGGTGTTTAAGGTGATATCAGTTACTTGATCACTTGTAAAATGTGGCTTTACGATCCAGAAATGAAGAAGTACATATGTTCTAGAACA